TTTCAGGAGAGGGGCGGGGGAAGGGCACGCGAATAAAGCGCGTTTTCCTTACTGACCAGCTAAACACCGGCTCTAAAAGCACAAGGACACTGGAGTGCAAACAGTTATATTTTTGAGAAAAGTGATAAGAAGGGAGAGTAGTAAGTAGTATGCAGATATATTCAGCCCTTATGGTACTTGCACTTGCATGCGTTTAACACATTTTATGCAATGAAGCCTACGAGTGATAGCAGCTAAACTTGTCATCTTCTTAGATTTTCGGGTAGGGGACTAAAAGTCGCGGAATGGGTGGCCCCGAGCGGACATCTGCAACACCGTGCTCCATACATTACAGATATTACAGATTTTTACCAACTGTCCTTGCGGGGTCGGCGACATACAGTGCTGGCCAAAACTATAGATCCACTATAAAAAACTGCCGTAGTTCATCTGCTTTTCAACGAATTGATCTGAATTTTGGTACAGCTGTGTGTTCAACAGGCTTCCATCAGTGACCGGAGCGGATCCCGCTTTCGTTAGATTATTCAGGAGAAAAATCAAAAATTTCGAAAAAAGCAGGCTCGAAGGTTGGCCAAAACTATAGATCCACCTAAGATTTTTGTCCGCTAAAGTAATTCTCGACTTCCAAAGTCTTTTGTGCATATACATAGTCGAAAGTCAAAGCAGTGGCTTTAGTCCAGCTGCGACATACTTTAATAAGAAACGCTTATCTGCTCTTTTTACTTAAAAAATACTTTCACGCGTATTTTGTTCCCAAGAATGTGTTTTTATGGCTAATTTCGCAGTTTCTTGACTGGTTTGGAAGCGATAGGTCTCCATCTATCTTATAGATGCTCAGCAGTGTGAGCAGTAGAAAAAAATTCGAGTTTTCGTATTCAGAGCGCACCCGACATAGACTTAGCCGCGGGCCTTCGCTCGAATTTTTCCCTTCAAACTCTTTCTGGATTGTTGTCATGAGCGTGAACTGGAGTAATGACATTGTTGGTATGTATTAGAGTGCGTATGCAGTGGTTGCAGGTCTATGCAGATCCCATTATGCATGCTAACTGAGGACTTCATCCTGCAAAAAAGTGATTTGCAACAAGCCTCAAAGTTATTTCTGATTCTGATCATAATGCTTATGTGAGTCACAAGACAACATACAGTAGAGGGTGTATTCACTAATTAGCAGCTAAACAATGGCAAAATTCAAGGAAGGTACCATTTAGTAAGTACTTTGAGATTGCCGAACACACCGCAAGACTTATGCTTTGAAAAGGTGTTGAAATGCGACTTCGCGAACAATCGTGACTATGACTTGCAAACTTCTTTTGTGTAAATAATGCTAAATAATGTTTCTACATTATTTTGAGCTTGCAAAAATAGCGTACAGCAATTTTGAAGGCAAAAATTCGAGCGCAGGCCCGCGGCTAAGTCTGTGTCGGGTGCGCTTTGAATACGAAAACTCGAATTTTTTCTACTGCTCACACTGCTGAGCATCTTTAAGATAGATGGAGACCTATCGCTTCCAAACCAGTCAAGAAACTGCGAAATTAGCCATAAAAACACATTCTTGGGAACAAAATACGCGTGAAAGTATTTTTTAAGTAAAAAGAGCAGATAAGCGTTTCTTATTAAAGTATGTCGCAGCTGGACTAAAGCCACTGCTTTGACTTTCGACTATGTATATGCACAAAAGACTTTGGAAGTCGAGAATTACTTTAGCGGACAAAAATCTTAGGTGGATCTATAGTTTTGGCCAACCTTCGAGCCTGCTTTTTTCGAAATTTTTGATTTTTCTCCTGAATAATCTAACGAAAGCGGGATCCGCTCCGGTCACTGATGGAAGCCTGTTGAACACACAGCTGTACCAAAATTCAGATCAATTCGTTGAAAAGCAGATGAACTACGGCAGTTTTTTATAGTGGATCTATAGTTTTGGCCAGCACGTATATTTCCCTACCCAAAATTTTCTGTCTTTTCGGTCTCGGCTTCCATGTGGCATGCGTACAAAAGAGCTAATCCAATCGTAACCTAGTATGTACCCCCACACCAAGAAACAACCAAGGCTATTCCTCCAAATATAACCATAATGCTTTGGTCACAATAGATCTTACTGTCAGTTTGGATTTCTGCCTTCCACTATCTGCGATTCAATGCAAACACTCTCATTCTAGAACCTCGCTTTCGCTTGCAAAAAATCTTCCTTTTTAAAATACATCAAGGTAGCAGGTGGTAATTCGCCCGCTGAGTCAGTGGGAAAATCCTAAGTGAGAAAGAAACTTAACCCCCTAAAGCGCCCTGAAAATTTCTTGATCGAGAGCGTAACAAGCGGAGTGATAATTTGTATTGGCGCACTATTCTAGGTCAGCCAAAAATCTAAGTATTTTCATAGGAAAGCTCCAAGCATTCTACTCAGTTGGTAAATTCACATCTGTCTTGAACGAGCTCGTACTCAACAACAAGCAAAGTATGATCTTTTCTTGGATCTTGCAGGGTTGGGGAATGAACACCTCAATTAATTATCGCCTCCGCGCGTTGCTGGAGCTTTCACTCTACTGTTGTGCAGCGTATTGGGACCAGTAGTCCGCGGAGGCGGTGCCTAAATAAGGTGTTCGTTCCCCAACCGATCTTGCATGTCAAAGGCAGCATCCCACCCGAACTGAAGTTGTGCGGTCCACATATTCCACTACATGGCCTACTACTGTATGTAAAGGCTCCTGGTACGCAAAAACCCCGACACCCAAATTTTGGTGAGATACTTCTTAACCACTGGCTGCAGCTTTCATTTTTTATCTAGCTATGCTTTTCTAGGTGAGCGTCATGGTATTAGACTCATTTCTAACTACCTAATCGTTTGGGATCCGCTTGTGAATGTAGAACGCACAGTACCGCATAATTTTTCTGCAAACTTCCACCCATTTTTGTGTGGGATTGTCAACTTGCCGGCATTATGCCGCCGATTAGGGTAGGTTACTACCCATGTAAATGCACTGAGCCGCTTCCCTGTGTGATGCAACTCAAATGATTTTGACGAACTTTTTATCTTGTGCGCAATAATACATCCTACGCGGAAACGGAAGAGTTGATTTGGAAGAGCAGTGTGGAACTCCCCGGTCATTTTGATTGTGCGAGTGTCCAAAAGTTGTCAAATACAATTTTGTCCTGTGGTTTGCTTCCAAGGTCATGCAATAAGTTGTCAGAACTGATATAGACGTTGCAGTAACAAATTAGTTCCCATTACTGAATAAATCATGTTAGCCTTTTCGTTCCTGGGTCTTTATGCGCTAGATGGCAGAATAGAGATAGAATTGCTTTTTCAGCGTTCAGTTAGGCCTCGGTGAAGAAAGTGGCAAAGTCATTGCTTGGGCAATTGCTATAATAGGTATGTTGATTTCTTTTAACTCAAAGGTAAAAAGGTGTCCTCTTTTAGAATCGTCAAATAATACCGACTGAATGTACCGCTCACGAAATAGTTTAGAAAATTTTAATGGATAAAGAGACATTTTACTAGGTGTTTTGTGCTGACTCCGTACCATCACATACCCTGCAGTGGTGGTAAAAAAAAATTTTTTTGTAAGGGATGCGCAACCCTTTGAAAATTTTTGGGACTCTTTGCAAAATCTACGGGTTCATGATCCGGAAATGAGCGACGTTCCGTTTCCTCACAGAACTAATTTAGATTCTAAACATTTGAGAATTGTTTTGATTATCTACAAGTTAAAGCGAGTCAAATACAATTTTTATATTTCTTGTAGCTCACGGCATTGTAAGACCGAGGAGGCGGGTGGGAAGGGGGAAAAAGAACCTCAAAGTGAGACCTTTGCCCCTACTGGGTATTTGGGTGCTGGTTGTAATTGGCTGTTATAAATACGCGACAAATCTTTACAAAGTTTCTTTGAATATGATCTTTGCTATCTCTTTTCTTTAGAAGAGTTAAAACGAGATGCAATTCTTTCAGTTCAATTTCGTCTATTTCAGTTTTCATCCTTCTGCTCTATGCATTCGTGAAGATTACGTCAAACCGCAGAAAAGCACGAATGCAACAAATCCTTCAAAATAGAATGAAGAAACGTTTGCGAGATCAACAGGAGCTGGTCAAATGATTGCTAGAAATTTTTAAAAATTCTTATTGAACTCAAATTCGATCTCCCTTATCTCTTTTCTGTTTCTTAATAAACTTTGATTCTTCGCTCAAAAGTTTACAGCAATTGACTTTTCTCGTGCATCAATAATAACCATTGACTAAAACTTTTGAATACATTTGGTTCTCGTGTCACTTTGGCAAAGAGTTTTGTTTGATGGTTATGTTCCCCGAAATCGGCAAATATAATTAGAAAGTTTCGAATCGAGTCTGCATTCTCAGAGTCGGTGTTTCCATTCACATGAAATAAATGCGTTTTGTTTTTGTTATTTATTTGCCAAGTTGCGCGAACGTGGAGATATTGATGGATGGTAATGAAGAAGGAAAGATTCTATTTTGCGGTAGAAAAAATAAGAAGACTGTCATCTAAAAAGTAAATTCCCATCTATGCTGCAAAAGTACAATTCAAAAAATGATCACAAATGAAAGAATTGGTTGACAGCTCTCTCATTGCATGTATTTTTTAAAATGATTTTCGACGTTAAAAAATCAAATTAGACAAGGTTAAGTAGATCATCGAGATATTTTATTTCTTTTGTCTGACATGGGGACCTAAACAAGTTTCTGGTTCTTCTCTCGTGTCGTTTCTCATGTTCTCATGAAGGCTATCACTTTACTATTTCCTCATTATTTTCGTATTGACTTGAAATTTTTTATCTCAATAGGTCAGAAAAGAAGTACAAGCTCTCATCAAATCATATTTCCTCAAATGGACGACAAAAGTTGAAAAGACATTGGATGAAAATATCATTTCGAAGCATTTTCGAAGTCACCGACCTCACAATAAGATGGACAAATGCAAAATCTATCCGAGATTTTATGAAATAAATATTTATTGCTCTAGACCCAATTTACAAACTGGACATAGCAGATAATACATACACTTCAGAAGTGTTGGAGAAAAAACGATATTCCGTAAAGCCGTTGAGCAATATGCTATTTATGGCTTGGGTCTCTTGTGTTTCTCCTCCCACAGTTCGAAGAGCTCATCTCTTGCCGCATCGCTAAGATTTTGGAAGATTTCGCGCTTCTGCTTTTCGAGCTCCTTCAGCTTGTCGTGAGCTGCCTTCGCTTCCGGAGAGAGCTTTTCCACCTGAAAAAAGACATTCAAATAGACATTTATGGATTCTTCAAAACTCCATGTCAAACCAACCTTTTCGTCAATGGCCTTCTTATGTTCCTCCATCTTGTTGTGGAAATCGTTGAACTCCTTCAGTAGATCTCCCTGGAGCGCAGTCTGTGCCAGGTTGTAAACCTTCTTGATCTTTTCTTCAAAGGAGATGTTCTTCTCCTTGAAAATGGCTCGGAATTGGTCCTGGACTTCCTTTGGAGCCTTTCTTAGCGGTGGCGGAAGAGGTGGTCCATTCTTGTGCATGGCTTTCTTAGCCTCACGTGGGAGTGAATCCATCTGAAAATTACAATCATAGATTTTCTCAAAAAATTCAGTAAAAGCCAACTTACCACTTCTCTGGTCAGACCATGCTCATTGTAGCACTTCTCGCCTTCCTTGTAATCCTTCCAGATATCTCTAATCTTTTGCTGAGCATCTTCAGGCAGATCATCGATGAATGGTGGAAGTCCACATGGTGGTGGTGGAGGTGGAGGACCGAACTGACACTAACAACTTTGTATACCAAAACAGGCTGTTACGCTTTCAAACTATTTTCTACTTTTAATTGGACTTTTTGATTATTAAAAAGTAGCCTCTAATTAATACGTGCGGTGAAATTTCCAGAGAATTGCATCAAAGTCATAAACTTACTTTCCAAAACCATGAAACCGGTTCGGGTTTGGTAAGATCATCAGTGGTTTCACATCAAGTTACGAAACCATAAAACAGCCACGAAAATGAACGATAATGAATCTTTGCTGGTGGAAAACTTTTGTCCTATGACACCAACATGTGCTCTACATGTGGTACCATTTTTACAAAAACTATTTCAGCGGAATCAGCTGTGACCTCATAGCCTGTCCGTCAGCTGCGAGGTGATTGACTACTTTTGCAAAAACTGATGTGAAAGTCTGCTGGTGAAAAATTAACAAGAATTCAAGGTCCTTTAATAGCTAAAATGTATTTTTAGACATCTCATAAGTTGATAGATACATCTCATAAGTTGATAATTATACAAGCTATCTACCAATCGAAATTCTTGCGCAAACTCACAGGTCCTCCGAAGAATGGCTTGGCGCTGATTGCAGCGACAAGACCAACAAGGAAGAGAAGAGCTTGCGACATCTTGTGTGTCCTTTCTGTGATTTCACCGCCAATTTATAGGTACATCCCGGGGGCGGGCAACGGTCAGCGCCGCATCCTCTTCAGTGTTTTTTCGGCGCAAACAATCTCGATCACGAATGTGATGCTGATCAGTGTGTGCGATGTGCATGCTGCTCGCAAATATTTGACAAAAAAGGAAATCTAACTTGTGGTGCTTCATTAGTCAGATTAGCATATTAATAATCATTCAGTAATCATAGAAAGTGCGATAAGAAAAATGAGGTGGGCGAGGATAACAAACCTACGAAGGAAGACAAATAAAATAAACGAAATTATAGAACACCAGCGTTTTTTTTTTAATTTTGGAAATTCGGCATTCATAAATTCATTTCAGACCTTCGAAAATCAAGAACTTTGCTAGCTGATAACCCTTAAAAATTTGACGGATTCAGAACCAGACAGTAATTTTTTCCGTTTTGAAACAAAACATTTTGCTATTATAAACGTATAAACCGGCGTTAGATCCTATAGTCCAAAGTGCAACAGTACTTTGATTAGCGTATTTTGGAGGTGGTCACTTATTTTTTCCGAAATGTTATGACCATCTCAGGACTTTCTGGTCGAGAGCCTCGATTAACAGTGGGTTGTGAGCGCTTCCAATTCTTAAAAAAACTTAAAAATTAATTATTAAAAATTAAAAAAATTAAAAAACTATAACGAAGTAGTTCTCTAAAAGAGTCCCCACTTCGTTGTAGAAGCCAAATCCGTTTTCAAACCACTTCCTGATGACTTATCCATCAACCTGGTATCCTAAGCTCGTATATTCGACATTTTATTCGGTTGTCTGTGTGTCTCTTAGATTTCAATTGTCTATCAGTTTGAGAGATTTGTTGTTCGATTTCACATATTCATATTAGATGCCAACATGTAAGCACAAACGCTCTCATTCTTTATTATAGAATGATTCTGAAGATTTCTTATTTTTTATGCATACGGAGCACTGAATGAAAATTAGCGGAGTATGGCTGGCTGCTAAAAGGAACAATTTTATATTGATTTTCTTGCGGAAAAAATTTGGAATTTTTTCCACAAAAATGCGAGATTTGTTGTACTAGATTCTGCTGATCGATCTTTGCGGTAAGTCACAACAAGTTTTTGTTGTTCCCCAAACATCGAGACTTTCAATCCCAAATAATTACAAAACTTCGCCAATAAGGTGTTCTCGCAGCAGAGTTCTTGGAGGTAGGGTGTCAATGTGATCGGTTGTTCATAAATCAATTATTATCGGATCAAGATTCAATCCTACATGTTTCCTCATAAAAATGACTTCTACATTTTCCATACGCCAAGCTTTGCCCAACTTAATATCACTAAAATTTTCTTGAATTCCCAAACATCAAAATTTATCTATAAAATTCAACGCACAAGTATTGTCCGAATAGACATTATTTCTCAGAAATGGTGTTTTATTGTTTTTTTAAAACGGATTTTTGTCGCAAAATCATTTTAGTGTTTGATTTTAGCATCAAATAATATAATAGTATTTGATCTTGTAATTCTCAATTCTTGTATAAAATTGATGAGATTATTCATTCTAGAATTTTTCATACAAGCTTTCTCGTGAAGTATCGATCTTCAATAGCTTTCCGATTTTTTGTTCAAAATAAGGTAACATTCATATATGAAAGTTGTACTTTGAGATGCCCACCGTCAGACCCTATATACTGTGTTTGATCCAAAAATTTTTCTAACCAAAAAACTTATTAGCATCATTGCTGAAATCTTTACGAAACTAGAGCAATATTCACGAACCAAAAACTTATCGTCAACAATCTCATTTTCTTTCAGAAAATAAATAAAGAACACGATAGGGGTTCGCCATTAGATTTGATGAGAAGACGATGTTTTTGTGAAAATTTAGAATGTCGGCATTTTCTTTGTGCTTGAGGTAATACGAAATGGTCGATCTGATCTGAAGATCCTCTAGTCGAAGTAGAATGTGACCGTCAGTTCTTTGCGTAACGTAATTTTTTCAAATTTGCTGATTAAGAAGAATTGACTGCATTGGCAGTCACAAATCGTGAAAATTAGTGCAGTATATCAGAGATAGAATCTGCTCTTTTGAACGGTTTTGCACTATTCAGATTGAGTAAACACATTTGTTGTAAAGCCAACAACCTTAGGCAATTAGCGAAATCCTAGAGAAAAAATTGTGTACTTGGCTGTGTCACCCTACAATCTTCAACCTTTCAAAACTGGTAACTATCAGGTGCAACTTCCAATTATTGAAACACCTGAAAAAAAACTGCTCTGCTGTTTACGAGTTCTATGGTAATTTTTGCAAATACAATGTTCATACAATTGGCGAAATCATGTGTGACCCTGAAAATTCGCAAAATTATGACATTACGATAGTTTATATTAGTCATTTGTTCGTGATGTTTGCTACGTGACCGCTCTTTCGCTATTAGATGATGAATCGAAAACAACTTGTGTGAGTTGATTCAGCAGTGCTTATTTGCATATCAAAGCTTGACCAACCCCAGCTTTACGAACACCTTTGATCGAGCATGAAAGCTGTCCTCTAAAGATTCGCGATCTTAACATCAAAGATCGCAACATCTCGCTTAGCAGATGGAATGATGGCGTGTATTCGCCGAAAAGCCTTTTTTCCATGTAAATTATACTGCGTTCAACGAACACGATTGCGCTAGTTTGCCAAATTATAGAAAGTGAACTATCCTAGACATTATAGTGCGAAGGTACTACTTAGCTGAGTGTTTTTCTGAGGCTAATAGTTTTTTTTTCATTCCGTAACTTCTATTAGAATGATCGGAAAGTAATGGAACCTTAAAGTGCAAATGTAGCTTTCTTAAACAGAAAAATCAATTGAACGCCCAAGTTTTGGGAGATGTTAGTGCATACCAAAATCTTCTGATCGAGGTCTACAGATAGGCATTGTCACATGACGTCGTGTTCATAAGTGCTCAAAATCTAAGCTCGTCATTCAAAGTAATTTCGAACTTGAAGCAGCAACGCCGAGGTAAAACAAGTGAGGCTGCCAACAATATATGTGCTGCGATGGGTTAGGGGATTGTCACAAATCCACGATAGCCTGATAGTCCCAACGCTTGCAACGGAAGATATAGCATCAAGTATTAGTTGAGATATTTAGTCTCTCATCGAGTTGATCGAATGGGTTCACCTTTGATGAATGGCATCTAATAGAGCTGTTTACTCTATCCATACGTATCCGTTCACAATTTACCTGAGAAAACCTCGCTTTCAAAAAATTGTGGACAAAATACGTTTTCTAGCCCGAAAATATGCGCCAAATATTCCGTTTTTATGGATAATCTGCCTCTTTTATACAAAATGATGAACAGTTTCTGCATCAAGCGATCGTTAGAAAATGCTTGGAAAGCACTTTCGAATGGTATATCATACGCTCAGGGACTTGAGGTACTGCAGCACAAACTCGGATGGCATTCAAAAAATTCTGTTTGCCTTTTTTGAATCGCCGCGCGAAAGATTGTAGGGTTCGAGTGCAAGTTGCTGCCAGGATAACATGCGAAGACCACTTCATACAAATGTATCTTTACCGCTGGTTCTTTGTCATCTATCAGAAAAAATTATCGAAATTTCAGAAAAAAATTCGAAGTGTCCCATTACTTCCCGATCACCCTAATAGCAGTGCAGCGAAAGAGAAGGGCCCGTAGTAAACCCCCCCCCCCCATCAGGGCATCTCTCTTGACGCGGGCTGGGGGTGATCTCATCGCGCCTCAGCCTATCATCCAACGAGCTATTGATCTGGATGCGGATCACTTCCTGGACATTATAAACAAGTGCATTCTTGAAAAAGTGGTCACTTGTGCCGGTTTGGTCGAACGGGCAAGTGATTGGGATTACACCCAGGCGGCCGTGGTTCGACTCCGTCTAGCAACAAAACTTTTGCTGGTACTTTTCCGTTATCCGGACCCATTTTTTCAAAAAGCTTTCATAAAATACGTTCTTCAGTCCGGGAACAATTTTTTATGGTATCCGCGAGGACTGCCTTCCTGCCACGTGTCAGAAAAATATTGACAGGTTTTGGTCCATTTTGACATGTTTTTTTCAAAATCACTTCCGGCGAGGTAAAAGAGCATTTGTGATTATCTTAAAAGCTGTTTAATTGGTTTGTCTGGGAGCAAAACAATCTGAAATATATATTAAAACATCTTGATCGCTTTCAGCAACGATTTAGCATTCTCTTTCTCTTTAAACTTTTCGTCTTGCGAATTTAGCCAGACGAGACTATGAATGATGGCTTAAAGTTCCTTGCTATTGCTTGTTCTGTCATTTAGATTACGGGATCCTAGTCCACTTCTCTACTTTTCGCAAGTCTAATCTGTTTAATTAGTAACAGAATGACGATATTATGATAACAATGCTCATTTTTGATACTGTCTAATCGAAAATGGGGCCTCCATTGACTAATAAAGAGATTGAACCTACGTCGCTAGGTAAGGCAAATCAAACTCTTGGTTAAACCTGTTAAACATGTAAATGACATGTCAAATTTTCTTGACACGTGGCAAAAGGTTAACATCCTTCCTATGCAGTCGGGACCGAATATGGTACGAGGGAAACAGCAATATGCTTCTCTCAAAAAATGGGTCCGGATAACGGAAAAGTACCCTTTTGCTGCATGGCCGGGCAATCTTTGATAGCGGCCACTATCCCAATCGATCATGACCGCTATCGAGGATTTCGCCTAGCAATGTATGGATAAAACAAAAACACCTTTGTGACGAGAATTTTATAAAAAAAAAAAAACGAAATGGTCGCAGCGTGAGTTCGATGAATTGAACAAATGAGTTCTCATTTTGGACAACTTTAAAAAAAAAAACAGTGAAGTTTGCAAAAAAGAGAAGAATTTGTTTTTTTTGTTTTCCTTGCCAAAATCAGCTCTTCATCGATCCTCTCCTATTTGAGCGCTGTTATGCAGTTTTGCGCCGATTTTGTCTGCATTTTTAGCCTAAGTGATGTGTATCGTAAGTTACTCAGGAGCAACTTACGG